CCATGACGCCCCCCCCCTGGATCCGCCCAATTGTGAGAATTTTTTATTTTTGCCCTCATAAACCGCCAGCTTGTGCTAGTTTTTTGAAGTGTAATTGAAACCATATCCCCACTTAGTTTTGAATGCGACAGAAGTCCTTAATCAAGATGCGGAAGTCCATCGACCCATCAGCCAGCATTTACATGCCTCGCTCGATTTTAAGCCGGCCGATGCGAAATATTCACTGGGGGCTTTCGCCCCATTAGACCGGCCAGTTTTAGTGCTCCGCTAACATAACCTATTCCACACCCCCCATTATCTGCCGTTGGCTGCAAAGGTGCGGGACCCGAACCTTTGGTGGCGGATTGTTTTCGTTTGCGTCCTAATTGATATTGATGGGACCAGGCTTTTGACAAAAACACCCCCGAAGTCCCACACGCTACGGCATTAAGTAAATATTAATAAAGACGTGGATTCCGCGCGTTTTACTTCGCGCCTCCATCAAACGCCCGTTACGAGCGCTCGGGGGGTTTATAAACTGTTCGGGCCCCATAATTTAGGGCCGCCCGATCGCCCCAGTAAATTATGGGCGACCATACGCTCGTATTCTGAGGGCTAATTACACCGCTTCGTGATTTTCTGGGCAAGATAGTCCTGTTATTAATTTGTCACTGCGCCCATATTCGAGGGCAACGCATGATTGAAACGAGCCTCCGGCCTTTTCGCTGCCAACAAACAAAAAGTCGGCTTGAGTGTCAATTCCTGTTTATTAAACTGTTAAGCTGCCATTCTCAGTGCTGATGTGTTGGTTGGTTTGCATCTCACCCCGTAGTCAAGCGGACGCAGCGCAGCTGCAGTCAAGAGAGAGAGAATAACATAGCGGTTGCTATGGAAATCAGAGGTTCTTGTCGCACAATGCCGATCTACCAGGGCCGATTCGATAGAACCGCAGAAATTATTAGAGTTTTTTGCATTTGGTGCGCACACACACAGGCACGACTTTGATTTTGCGGTTTGAAAAGTGCAGTTTTCAAGCTGATGCCTTTTTGCAATCATTGAACAATGAAAGACACGAATTAAGAGACGAGGTAAGCAGGGCAATTAGCAGAGGCGTCAAAGCCAGATGCAGGCTCATATGGATGGTGAAAAGGAAACTTGTTAGGAGTTTAGAGCAATAGAGACGAATGGCACAGTCACGGCGTACAAAAGCAGGCGAAAAATGTGACTTTCCAGCAGGAGAAAAAAACCGTTTGACGTTGGTATCGCATAAAGCTTTCACGCTCGGGCTTCATAAACGGGCAATATTTCATAATTTGCGCCCGGTTTTCGTTGGCTGCCCTATTTATTGGGTAATAGAGACTAAAAATTTAACGATGTCAATATTGTAATAAGCTAATGGCGAAATAAAGAAGAAAGGCGCGCACCGGCAAAAATGCCGATGAAATGACGGGGGAGCTTTTAGGCCATCCTGCCAGTTTCAATATCGATAAGCCGCTGGCGCTGATATTGTAGCGCTTTAAAATTCCACCGACTATTTAAATTAAGTAAATATGCTCGACGATTTTCCAGTGATCCTGGATGGTCGGAAAATGCGAAAAATGCGCGCTCCTGGAGCGTTTCCGCTATCTCTTTCCAATTAGCCGCTAAGTGATTCAGGCAGTTTTGTTCCGATGATAATCCCGTTATTAGTCCTTGAACTCGCCAATTAGAAGCGCACAAGTTCAATGCAGGAAATGCACATTTTCTTCTTATCATTCTCAGTGGCGGACGCGCAAAAGTACTTAACAATCGCTGCTGCTTGAATGAAGCACACCCGATAGCTGAGAGGTTTTACACATTTCGTAATTTTCCCATGACACGGTTTTCCTCAGTAACCAAACCCGCGCATTCCTAGTGGGAAATCCGAACCCTCACACGGCACAAACGAGCGCCTTCAATCGCACGAACGTATCAAATATCTTCTCAAGTCTTCGCCGCTTCGATGAAGGTCAGGCCGCCATTTAGCCAAGTGCTTCCATAATGGGGCATTTCCAATAAATATGTATAAGTTTGCCGTGAAGTGGACAGAAATTTTGGGCCATCTTGAAACGCTCTCCCCCTCAAGCGTTTTATTCGCTTTTTTAACTCTCCTTTCAGGCTTTCAGGGCCGATTTTCGCATTCCGTTTGAGTGAGTGACCATTCCAAAGCAAACACGGTCCTGATGGGATCGCAAAATCAGGAACAATATTGAAATTTACGATTTTTCCTCGGCTGCCGCGAAATCTTTTAAGTCTCCTCAAGGCATGAACTTCTCTTAAATGGGACTGTCAAAAGGGTCGCTTTTTCGCTTGAAACTGATCAGATTTTTTTCACATTTAGACCAATTTCTGCTTTATTACTTCGAACTTTGCAATCAATTTAATTTTCTTGCGTGCGTGCACATCTGGGACTAATTAGATCGGCTTTTGCTGTTCATTTTCCATAAAATTTGAGCCGGAACGGACATCGTCCTCGTGCATCGAATCACACACAAAAGAACTGAAATTAAGCGAAATTGCTGCCCATTTTCTTTGCTCGATCCAGGTGACGGGCGATTTTTATTGCAAGTGGATTTCGCTGAACCGACTTTGCATATCCACTCGAAGGAGAGGTCCCGGAGGAGTCCTCATGCGCGGGCGAGTCCAGTGCCGTGCACCCACTACTACTTTAAAAGCGCTCTGTTTACCCGAAATATATCTCGTGTGTTTCGGTCAGGGCTATTTGCTCTTCTGCTCCCAACCTAAATAAACGTCCGTTCGGCTCAAATGTAGCCGATTTTCGTCCATCAATGGTACGAAAGCGTTGTTTCTACATGCAGAAAAAGCCTCGTGGTAATGCTATATAAATTCGACTAGAATATCCATTTTCCCACTGATCCAGGCAGCTGATGTTAGATCAGGGGCGGATCCAGCTTTAAAGTCGGGGGGGAGGGGGTTATGTAGAAAAAATACTGTCTTCTGTTATCTATGAAATTAGAAAAATGATCGTCGTTTTGTGCAAGGGTGGCGCAAGATTATTGCAAATTTCATGTTTTCCGTCCCGTTTTGCATGTTTCTCGGAAGCAAAATGAGCAAGAACGCTCGTTTTTACATCATTCCAGAGATAACTAAATTGGCTTTATTCGAAGTTTCTCAAGAACCATTCGAGCCACAGAATTCGTTTTGGCATCGTTGGATAGAGAATTGAAAACTCGATTCAGTCGTAACAACG